AAGCTCAAATGACTTTTGAAACAGCTGTTCATTTATATTCAAAGTCCTAGGAAATCCTGTAGTTACATTACTGATATTATATCACAAGGGAGACATCGTAAGGGTATTTCAAAAGGATTCAAACGTCAAAAACCAGCCCATTTTCGGCTGCTAAATTTCGCTGTGCAACATCATCGTTAGGCTGAGACTTCGAGTTAGCACAAAACCTGACACTATTTCAACGTATGGGTACATTACCTACCTATTTATGCACATATGTACCCTCTATTTCAGAATTCGAGAAGAACGTCGAGTGCAGACCACACACCACAAGTGACGACGGCGGAAGAAAAGTTACTTTTTTCTCGGCCGTCGTCACTTGTGGTGTGTGGTCTGCACTCGACGGTCTCCTAGCTTCCGAAATAGAAGGTATGATAGTATTCTCCCGAAGAGCAACGGAAAACTAATTCCCTGTTTGACTCTTCTATTTGATATGTTCTGCGTGTACAAAGAAGCGCACTTTTATTTCAAATAAAATTTGGGTTTTTTATTACTTTTTCGCAGCTTGAGATAACATTTAATAAAGTAGTTCAGTAATGTTCAATCGAAAATTATCAAGTCGGTAATGCCAGGATTCAAAAACGTATACTAGATAGTATTGTGAAATTTATATTATTGTTTATAAGAACTATTCGAACTTTCTCAGAAAGCACTGGTAAGTGCATTTCCTTTCAAGAAAATGTGTTCAAGATTGAGTAGAGCACCATTTATGCCGCTTTGTTAGAAACCCTTTATTTCATTCTATAACGTTTAATTCTTTTAAACCCTATTTCCGGCTTTCACACTCACTTCAGGAAGAAGCATTAGCTTGCAATTTTGTTTGCAGAGTACAAGTGAGCTTTGAAACCTGCGCGATTTCTTGGTAACTTGAAGGTACATTACGCTATAGCAGAGAGGGGCTGAAATGTGGTTTGCATTTGAAACAGTAGGTGCCAATGACTTGTCAGTGAAGAGACAAAAAGGGTAAACCACTGGAAAGATCTTGAAGGAGACCCTTCACTTTTTTTAATGTGCGGTGGGAGAGAATGGCTCACAAACGGTCCTAAAGGCACAGGTTGCTGAAACGAGAGAGCGGCAGCCGGTAGCGAGAGATTACAGTGAGAAGGGAGACGCAGACGTCACAATGGTGGACGTGTGTGACAGTTGCAGCTCATGAAACCGTAGCGCCATTTATACACGTTTTTGTAGCGCAGGCTATTTTTGAAGTTGCAGTCCGGTTGCCTGACAGTTTGGCAAACGCCTATCTCAAATCTATCTGCGAGAGAGATTTGTTTCTTGTTCTTCAGAATGGAATTTCAGAGCAGGACGTACTTTTAGTGGCTAACGTAGGTTAGATCAAGTAGACTTCAATATCTTTTGTGCAATATAATAAATAAATAAATAAATAAATAAATAAATAAATAAATAAATAAATAAATAAATAAATAAATAAATAAATAAATAAATAATACGATATCTCACTGCCGTGTATAAGTTTTTTTGTTGTAATAGACATATGTTCAGCATCGAGACGCTAACTTGAAATTTGAGTTTAGCCTGCTTTCAATGGTTTGTTTGAAAGAGCAGTGGGGTGAATTTGGTGCAGAAGTTAAATGCGTGGCGCATCTTTTTAATGTTTATTTATTAATTCTCGTTTGAAACTGCAGAAATCGGATACGTTATATTTCTCAGCTCAAACGAGTGAAATTCACCCTTTGGACGGGCTTTCCCATGTCCCACTCACATTCATCCGCTGCAAATCATAATTGAGATTTTTTCTCGGGCGTGTAATAGAAAGAACGAACTTTAGCCTATGAATGGGCTTTCCCGAGTCTCGTTCCTCGCTCAAATTTGCCTGCTGATAATCATAATTGAGACTGATCTAAGGTGCTTTTTATGAGGCCGTAGACGGCTAATTCCAGCCGTTGCTGCGCCGTTCTATGATGTAGAGCAACGTGACCAAAATACATATTAGTCAGATTGTATCAGATGGAGAACAGGTCTGGTACTTTTTTGATAGACATATCGATTTTACCTGAAATATTGTTATGCAGAGGGCTCGAAAACAGTAGGACAATGCAGCGCAAAACAGGATCCGCCGTGAGACCACCCACCTGCAACAATCGAACAAATTAGAGCTGTGAATTTGATCGAATATAAAACACACCGGACAAGTAAGTCTAACCTGTGTTGGTGGGTAATAATTACCACGACAGCGTTCACCACAAGAATGATCATAATGTACTCAGTGATTCTGATTGCTCCTCTGACCTGAAATTAGACATTGAAATGGTTGAATACATACTCTTCAATTAGTCCCCTTCATAGGGAAAACCTCCTATCTTACCTCGGGAAACCATGAAAACCATAAATCAGGCAACGGTGGTGTATCCCGGGGAACGCGTTCATGAATCCATGCCAATGCCACTTCGTTCAAAGTCCAACCGATCCCCTGCAATATGCACGAATATGTAGAAACAATAGGAAGCAAAAACAATGGGTTGAAGGAATATTTTGCGGAATTGAAAATTTTCACCTATATTTCAACAGAACAAATTCGAGCAATATTATATTTGTATGGCTACACGTTTTGTGGGCTCCTTTATACGCTCGGCTCTATGGAAATCTTTAGAATCTTCCAGAATAACTTCGGGAACAAATCAAAAATTCCCATTTTCAATAAAATTTTGAATCAAAGTGTCGCAAAGATTTTTCCAACAGCCTAATAAAATCAGCTCTCGAACAACGAACCACAAAAGCCATTGCGAACAGAGTGGGTAATCTTCGCGTCA